ATATGGTGGTGATGATGGTGATGATGATTGGGGGATGATGATGGTGATGATGATGATAGATGATGATGATGTATGATATGATGGAGATGATGAGATGGTGATGATGGATGAAGTGATGATTATGATGAGAGATGATGAGATGATGATGGTGATGTATATGATGATGGATTATATAGGTGTATATATATGGGGATGATATGAATGTGGGAGTATGGCAGATGATGATGGTAGCATGATCACATCAGCTGTGATGATCATCATTATCGATCATCAGCATCAGTCATTGTCATCATGATCATTATCATCATCATCATCAGTTATGATTATCATCATCAGTTGCCATCGATTCATATTATTATCATAGTTATGATAAATAGTGTATCATCATCATCTCAACTTATCCGATTTTATTTTCATCTCATCATTGATTCTCTCATTATGTCATCACATACCATCATTTTACCCTTCGCTTATCATCATCATCATCACTTCTCATCATCACATTATCATCATCATCATCATTCTCATCATCATTTATTTATCATCATTATCATCCTTATCTTTCATCATTCTATCATTCTCATCATTCTCATCATCATTATCATCATCATAATCATTCCATCATCATTATATCATCATTATCATCCTTATCATCATCATTTTTCATTCTCACATTTCATCATCATTATCATCTCATCTTATTATCATAAAGTTATCATTATTATCATCATCATCATCATCATTTATTATCAATATTATCATCATCATATCATCATCATTTTTTATCATCATCATCATTATTATCATCATTATCATCATCATTCTCATCATCATCATTTTTCATCATTTTTCATGTCATCATCATATCATCATCGATTATTATTCATCATCATTCATTCCATAACATCACCTCGTATGCTCCTAAAACCCCCTACAAAACAAACCCACCACTGTGAATATCACACAATATTCACCGCCTTTTACCATCTTTAACCGTCCTACGCTAACCCCCGATGTCCAGCCACCCCCCCTCCCTGTTAAACCCCGGATTCCCAATTGCCCTCCCGCCGCGCCTCCAATCAGAGTAAAGCTCGTAACCGCTCCGGTTCTGTTAACTGTTTGCTGCCTTCAGGCATCTGGGATCAGTTATCTGGACCGAACCAGAACCAGCAGCAGGAAGCTCTGGTTCTGGAGGTCCAAAGTCCTGCTCCTTCCTCCTCAGTCTGCAGTTCATCTGCTGATGACCCAGATCTTCTGAAACAGAACGGTGCAGAACACCGGACCTTCAGAATGGACCTCCAGAACCGGACCTCCAGAACTGGACCTTCAGAACCAGAAGTGTGACTGAGGCTGTTTCTCAGGTCTCTTTGTTGTTTAACAGCTAAACCTCCATATCAGCATCAAACACCTGATGCTGCTGAAGGTTCTCAGTCATCCTGGTCAGAGTCATCCCAAAAAAAGAAAAGTAAACACATCCGCTGGACTTTGACTCCAAGTTTGAAACCTGGAAACTAAGTTCTGGATGTTTTTCATTTTCATTTTTTGGAATCAAACATTTCAAAGCTCCGTCTGAAGCATCTGATCAGCTGATTTTAGTGTCTCTGTCTTTAAAAACTGAAGCAAACTGATTATGAAGGTGATCAGGAGTTAATCTGAGGTTTTTGTTTCTAAAAGTTTCAGCTCAGAGGAACCATCATGGAGCCTGCTGAGGAGAACTTTGATCTGTGGAGAGACGACTCCACACCTGATCCAGATTAGGAGAACCATCTGGAGCAAAAACTGGTCTGAACAGGAGAAAGGAGGCAGAGCAGAGAGGAACCTGGAGGAACCTGGAGGTTGATGATGATGATGACAACCCCCCCCCCCCCCCCCCCCCCCCCCCCACACACACACACACACACACTCACCATGCTGTCGAAGTGGATGAGCTCCAGCTCGTAGTCCGGCAGGATGTCGCTGCGCCCGTTCACCAGGTCCAGGGCCATCTGGGCGGACGGCATGCAGGCCTGGCCGCCCGGCCAGCCGCCGCTCATGGGGAACAGCGCTCCGATGTAGAGCTTCTTCTTCCCTGCGGACGGCCGGAGCCAGAGGAGCAGAGGGAGGATGAGAGAACAGCGGAGGAGCAGCATGCTTCAAGGTGAGCCGAACCGAGCCGAACCGAACCGAACCGGGCCAGGCTGAGGAAGCTTTCCGAGGAGCTCAACACGTGACCGGAACCGGAGCGGAGTTTGGTTCCGAGGAGCAGCGGATCAGGCTGGAAGCTCCTTCATGCTCCTGCAACATGATGATGATGATGATGATGATGATGGAGGTTCCTGATCGCTTCCACACCGACAGAGCTGGAAACCAGCTCCGATCCTGGATCTCATCCCCACGCGGATCCACGCAGCCTCCGACGTCACGGAGAGAAAAACCATCACAGCCCGAAACAGCCGCGCGCCTTTTTCTGCGGATCGGAGTCCGCGAGAGGATGGACGGTCCGCGCCCCCCCACTCCCAAC